GGGCCAATGATGTCTTCTTTGAAATTTGCAAAGAAAACGCCTCTCCCCCCCCCCCCCTAAAAAAAAACTCATTTGTCAGTTTATAAGCCGAATGAATGTTGGAAGGAAGGAAGGAAGAGGGAGGGGGGCGAAGGAAAGGATTTAGGTTCTTTATCCAAGATGAACCTTCTGGAAAAAAAAAGAAAAAAAAAAAAATATGACGTAGGATTTTAGTTCAACGATGACGTCTGTTAAGTAGGCTGGGGAGCCACGAGTCTTGAGGCAAAGGGAACGGAATCTGATTGCGAGTGTATTTTCATGAATATTTTTTTTTCTTCTCACACGTGTTTTCTGGTTTAAAAAGAAGTCATATTGCATTACATGAAGATACAAAAAATTATCTGTTCATATATTTTTAGGATTATAGTTTGAATATCAAATAATAATAATAATAAATAATTATTATTATATTATTAACATTATTATTATTACTATATTAGTAACATAATTATTATTAACAGTATCATTATTATAACTATCATTAGTATTAGTATTATTAGTATCATTATATAATTGCTATCATTGTAATCATTATTAATTTATTAATTATTGTCATCACTATCATTCAGTTATCATTTGCATCATTATTGTCATAATTATTCAATTATTCTTGTCATCATCATCTATATTATCAAAATTATTATAATAATTAATCAATTATTATCATCATCATTATTATCACTATTGACATTATAATCATTATTTAATTATCATCATAATTATCATCGTTACCATTATCAATATTATTATCAATATCAGTATTATTATCAACATCAATATTATATTCATTAATAGTATTATTAAAATAATTATTGGTAATGATATCATTATTCCCACATTATTATTATCATTATATTCATAAAGAGTATCAATCAAAATGAGAAAAATCTAAAAAGAGGTTACAACCCTCTCCTTGCAAATTAGAAGGGGGGGGGGGTACTGGGGGAGGCCGATCGTCGAGCCGCAGTCGGGGAAGAGAGAAAAACCCGGAACCCGTTTCCCGGTTCGCGTCAACCCAGTAAGAGGCATGCGAGGCGAAGCCCTTGGTAATACCGCACACGGACGCCGGGATCTATGACTCTAGGTTACCGTCGGGGGAGGTGGCAGAGGAGTGCTCACTCTGAACGACCGCTTAAGTTTAATCTCAGATGCTTTATCCGTACTCTATGACAGAATGAATCACAGCCACTAATTCAATAGGAACTGCCGGTGGTACAGACCGACCTTTAGGGGGTGTGAGAAGGCCTGGCTGCGGCGCAATTAGTGATGGTTACGCCTTTCACATGTCCGGCCACGGTGATGACCACATCCCATGGGGGGGTCATGGATATCTCCATCAGACTTCGCCCACTGGTAGGAGACACAGCGCCAGTAGTGAAAATGGAACATTTATTTTCTTATTGTCATTTACGTTCCATAAGACATACGTAAATCCAGTTTAAAAAAAAAGGTTCCATGCCAAGCTCTCTCCTTTGTAGTACAGCCTCCTTCTTGGCTGTATTACATCCCAGATACTGAGGAGCACATGCTCCTGCAACCAGACATTTAGACTGCTGCTCCTGCAACCAGAATCCTGAATTGCATTGCTGGACCAGGTACAGTTTTACAAATAATGTACTACATTTTTGTTAGCTTAAGATGGACTAACATCTATACCTTACAGTGTACTCAGCATCTGCTTAGCTAATATGTGTTGGTAGTGAGGACATCCAAGTTATCAGAGGAGTTACCGTATCATTTAACTGTTGGACAATAAAGTCAACATATGGAATTTTCTTATGATCTCGATAACTGTACACAAAGATCAAGTTACATGCCTTTACGGGTCTTGGTATTGCTGACTTTGCTGTGTAACGTGAAACCTGGGCTCTATTCCATGTCCCGGAGTCAGGCTTTGATGATATTTACAGCAGGTAAAATCATGAGGAACAATTAGCAGGAAAATATGTCCAACCAACAGCTGCACCTAAAGACCAGCATAGAACCTATGACTCATACAATATGAGACCAGCAAACCAGGGCATATGGACAGCTTCAAGATGATCTGCCCATCAGGATGTTTATTTCTGAGGCAGTCTGGATCGAAAGGTCTATGAGGAGACCTCGCAAGTGGCCGGACAAGTCGATCAAACCTGTCATGTAGAAATCGAGAACTGGCTGATTGCCAAGTGGGGCTCCTGTGGTTGGGATTAAAGGGTAGATGCAACTCCCTTCTCAGCATTAAGCCCATGGAATTGACTGAACATTACTGTTGCTTTCTTTATTATAATACCTGTTATAATATTTTTTATTACTTTCAGTGCTATAAGTATGTTCGTCGCTGTTATCATATCTAGCTGTGCTATCATTTTCGTTATTATTAGTATTATATACCTACAATGAAGCCTGAATTACACCATTAAGTACACAAACACACACACACACACACACACACACACACACACACACACACACACACACACACACACACACACACACACACACACACACACACACACACACACACACACACACACACACACACACACACATACCAGCACATCAAACATTGTCTTTTATGGCGTTCAGAGAATGATATTGGTGAAAAGGTTTAGACAAGAATGATTGATAACTGTTCCCCGAACGCTTGTCAGCTATCACTCTCGGTACATAATTCATGAGGTGATTATGAGAAGATAAATTCAAGGTAAAGAGGTCATGGAAAAGTGAAGATCAGCAGTTGCGTTGACACACATACACACACACACACACACACACACACACACACACACACACACACACACACACACACACACACACACACACACACACACATACACACACACACACACACATACACACACACACACACACACACACACACATATATATATATATATATATATATATATATATATATATATATATATATATATACATATATGTATATACATATATGTATATATATATATATATATATATATATATATATATATATATATATATATATGTATATATATATATATATATATATATATATATATATATATATATATATATATGTGTGTGTGTGTGTGTGTGTGTGTGTGTGTGTGTGTGTGTGTGTGTGTAGGTATGTATGTATGTATATATATTGTGTACGGATGTGCAATAACGATAATAAATTTAATTTCATAGTTACAGTAAAGACCCGAGTCCATCGTAGAGGCACGAGAGCGTTGGCTCGTCATAAGCCTTTATAAAATGTTTAATAACTTTTGAACAAATATTCAACCACTGCCCGAGGCTCACAAGAGCAACTTTAATTAACCCGGAATTATCCCCGCAGCATCCCGGTCTCGTCCCGGCGCAGGAATCCGGCCTCTCGTCCCGTTTCCCCCGTGCCCTCTTCGCCGTGTCTTTCCCTCTTGAACTTGCGTCTCTTCGTTCTTTATCTACCCTCTCTCTGTCTCTCTTGTATTTCAATTTTTTTTTTTTTTTTGATAATCTATTTCTTCCTTTTCATCTCTATTCGTTTTTTTTGTTTTCTTTCACTATCTTTCTTGATTTATCGTGTCTATCCTTTTCGATCTTCTTTCTCTGTCTCTCTCGATCGTCCGTATCCTTGATCTTCTGTCTCTGTCTTACTTGATCAACTGTCTCTATTTTTTTCTAAATCTTTCGTCTCTATCCTTTTAGATCTCCCCTTTCTCTCCTTTTTGAATAGCCATATGGATAGCTCTATCCTTTTTCATCTTCCATATTTTCTTTATTAATCTATTTGTATAACATTCCATCCATCTTGAAATTTCATCTCTATCCTACTTTCTTATCCGTCACTATCCTTCTTCATCTTCTTTCTCTATCCTTCTTGATCTTCCATCTCTATTTTACTTCCTTATCCGTCACTATCCTCCTTACTCCTCCGTCTCTATCTTTCTTGATCTTCCATTGAACTTTCATCTCTATTATACTTCCTTAACCGTCACTATCGTTCTTTATTTTCTGTTTCTATCTTTCTTGAACTTCCGTCTCTATCCTTCTCAATCTTCTATCTCTATTCTACTTCCTTATCCATCACTTTTCTTCTTACTTACTTCTTACTTACTGTCTCTATCCTGCTTTATTATCCACCACGATCCTTCTTGATCTTCTGTCTCTATCCTTTCCGACCGTTCATCATTATCCTACTTCCTTAATCGTCACTATTTTTCTTGATCTTCCACTTCTATCCTTCTTGATCTTCCCTCTCTATCCTACTTACTTCATCCTCCGTCTCTATCCTTCTTGATCTTTTCTATCCTTCTTGATCTTCCGCTTCTATCCTTCTTGATCTTCCGCTTCTATCCTTCTTGATCTTCCGCTTCTATCCTTCTTGATCTTCCTCTTCTATCCTTCATGATCTTCCGTCTCTATCCTTCTTGATCTTCTGCTTCTATCCTTCTTTATCTTCTGTCTCTATCCTTCTTGATCTTCCGTCTCTATCCTTCTTTATCTTCCGTCTCTATCCCTCTTGATCTTCTGCTTCTATCCTTCTTTATCTTCTGTCTCTATTCTTCTTTATCTTCCGTCTCTATCCTTCTTAATCTTCCGTCTCTATCCTTCTTGATCTTCCGTCTCTATCCCTCTTGATCTTCTGCTTCTATCCTTCTTGATCTTTCGCTTCTATCCTTCTTGATCTTCCGTCTCTATCCTTCTTGATTTTCCGTCTCTATCCTTCTTGATCTTCCGTCTCTATCCTTCTTGATCTTCCGTCTCTATCCTTCTTGATCTTCCGTCTCTATCCTTCTTGATCTTCCGTCTCTATCCCTCTTGATCTTCTGCTTCTATCCTTCTTGATCTTCCGTCTCTATCCCTCTTGATCTTCTGCTTCTATCCTTCTTGATCTTCCGTCTCTATCCTTCTTGATTTTCCGTCTCTATCCCTCTTGATCTTCTGCTTCTATCCTTCTTGATCTTCTGTCTCTATCCTTCTGTCTCTATTTTTCTTTATCTTCTGTCTCTATCCTTCTTGATCTTCCGCTTCTATCCTTCTTGATCTTCTGCTTCTATCCTTCTTAATCTTCCATCTCTATTCTTCTTGATCTTCCGTCTCTATCCTTCTTGATCTTCTGCTTCTATCCTTCTTGATCTTCCGTCTCTATCCTTCTTAATCTTCCGTCTCTATCCTTCTTGATCCTCTGCTTCTATCCTTCTTAATCTTCCATCTCTATTCTTCTTGATCTTCCGTCTCTATCCTTCTTGATCTTCCGTCTCTATCCTTCTTAATCTTCCGTCTCTATCCTTCTTGATCTTCCGTCTCTATCCTTCTTAATCTTCCGTCTCTATCCTTCTTAATCTTCCGTCTCTATCCTTCTTTATCTTCCGTCTCTATCCTTCTTGATCTTCCGTCTCTATCTTTCTTGATCTTCCGTCTCTATCCTTCTTTATCTTCTGTCTCTATCCTTCTTGATCTTCCGTCTCTATCTTTCTTGATCTTCTGCTTCTATCCTTCTTGATCTTCCGTCTCTATCCTTCTTAATCTTCCATCTCTATTCTTCTTGATCTTCTGTCTCTACCCTTCTTGATCTTCCGTCTCTATCCTTCATGATCTTCTATCTCTATCCTTCTTGATCTTTCATCTCTATCCTTCTTTATCTTCTGTCTCTATCCTTCTTGATCTTCCGTCTCTATCCTTCTTGATCTTCCGTCTCTATCCTTCTTGATCTTCCGTCTCTATCCTTCATGATCTTCTATCTCTATCCTTCTTGATCTTTCATCTCTATCCTTCTTTATCTTCTGTCTCTATCCTTCTTGATCTTCCGTCTCTATCCTTCTTGATCTTCCGTCTCTATCCTTCTTGATCTTCCGTCTCTATCCTTTCTTGATCTTCCGCTTCTATCCTTCTTGATCTTCCGTCTCTATCCTTCTTGATCTTCCGTCTCTATCCTTCTTCATCTTCCGTCTCTATCCTTCTTGATCTTCCGTCTCTATCCTTTCTTGATCTTTCGCTTCTATCCTTCTTGATCTTCAGTCTCTATCCTTCTTGATCTTCCGTCTCTATCCTTCTTGTCTTCCGTCGCTACTCCTTTCTTGATCTTTCGCTCCTATCCTTCTTGATCTTCAGTCTCTATCGTCTTGATCTTCCATCTCTATCCTTTCTTGATCTTTCGCTTCTATCCTTCTTGATCTTCGTCTCTATCCCTTCTTCATCTTCCGTCTCTATCCTTCTTCATCTTCCGTCTCTATCCTTTCTTGATCTTTCGCTTCTATCCTTCTTGATCTTCAGTCTCTATCCTTCTTGATCTTCCGTCTCTATCCTTCTTGATCTTCCGTCTCTATCCTTCTTTCATCTTCCGTCTCTATCCTTCTTGATCTTCCGTCTCTATCCCTTGTCTTGTTCTTTCGGCTCCTATCCTTCCTTGATCTTCAGTCCTCTATCCTTCTTGATCTGCCGTCTTCTATCCTTTTGATTTTCCGTCTCTATCCTTCTTGATCTTCAGTCTCTATACTTCTTGATCTTCCGCTTCTATCCTTCTTGATCTTCCTCTTCTATCCTTCATGATCTTCCGTCTCTATCCTTCTTGATCTTCTGCTTCTATCCTTCTTTATCTTCTGTCTCTATCCTTCTTGATCTTCCGTCTCTATCCTTCTTTATCTTCCGTCTCTATCCCTCTTGATCTTCTGCTTCTATCCTTCTTTATCTTCTGTCTCTATTCTTCTTTATCTTCCGTCTCTATCCTTCTTAATCTTCCGTCTCTATCCTTCTTGATCTTCCGTCTCTATCCCTCTTGATCTTCTGCTTCTATCCTTCTTGATCTTTCGCTTCTATCCTTCTTGATCTTCCGTCTCTATCCTTCTTGATTTTCCGTCTCTATCCTTCTTGATCTTCCGTCTCTATCCTTCTTGATCTTCCGTCTCTATCCTTCTTGATCTTCCGTCTCTATCCTTCTTGATCTTCCGTCTCTATCCCTCTTGATCTTCTGCTTCTATCCTTCTTGATCTTCCGTCTCTATCCCTCTTGATCTTCTGCTTCTATCCTTCTTGATCTTCCGTCTCTATCCTTCTTGATTTTCCGTCTCTATCCCTCTTGATCTTCTGCTTCTATCCTTCTTGATCTTCTGTCTCTATCCTTCTGTCTCTATTTTTCTTTATCTTCTGTCTCTATCCTTCTTGATCTTCCGCTTCTATCCTTCTTGATCTTCTGCTTCTATCCTTCTTAATCTTCCATCTCTATTCTTCTTGATCTTCCGTCTCTATCCTTCTTGATCTTCTGCTTCTATCCTTCTTGATCTTCCGTCTCTATCCTTCTTAATCTTCCGTCTCTATCCTTCTTGATCCTCTGCTTCTATCCTTCTTAATCTTCCATCTCTATTCTTCTTGATCTTCCGTCTCTATCCTTCTTGATCTTCCGTCTCTATCCTTCTTAATCTTCCGTCTCTATCCTTCTTGATCTTCCGTCTCTATCCTTCTTAATCTTCCGTCTCTATCCTTCTTAATCTTCCGTCTCTATCCTTCTTTATCTTCCGTCTCTATCCTTCTTGATCTTCCGTCTCTATCTTTCTTGATCTTCCGTCTCTATCCTTCTTTATCTTCTGTCTCTATCCTTCTTGATCTTCCGTCTCTATCTTTCTTGATCTTCTGCTTCTATCCTTCTTGATCTTCCGTCTCTATCCTTCTTAATCTTCCATCTCTATTCTTCTTGATCTTCTGTCTCTACCCTTCTTGATCTTCCGTCTCTATCCTTCATGATCTTCTATCTCTATCCTTCTTGATCTTTCATCTCTATCCTTCTTTATCTTCTGTCTCTATCCTTCTTGATCTTCCGTCTCTATCCTTCTTGATCTTCCGTCTCTATCCTTCTTGATCTTCCGTCTCTATCCTTCATGATCTTCTATCTCTATCCTTCTTGATCTTTCATCTCTATCCTTCTTTATCTTCTGTCTCTATCCTTCTTGATCTTCCGTCTCTATCCTTCTTGATCTTCCGTCTCTATCCTTCTTGATCTTCCGTCTCTATCCTTTCTTGATCTTCCGCTTCTATCCTTCTTGATCTTCCGTCTCTATCCTTCTTGATCTTCCGTCTCTATCCTTCTTCATCTTCCGTCTCTATCCTTCTTGATCTTCCGTCTCTATCCTTTCTTGATCTTTCGCTTCTATCCTTCTTGATCTTCAGTCTCTATCCTTCTTGATCTTCCGTCTCTATCCTTCTTGATCTTCCGTCTCTATCCTTTCTTGATCTTTCGCTCCTATCCTTCTTGATCTTCAGTCTCTATCCTTCTTGATCTTCCATCTCTATCCTTTCTTGATCTTTCGCTTCTATCCTTCTTGATCTTCCGTCTCTATCCTTCTTCATCTTCCGTCTCTATCCTTCTTCATCTTCCGTCTCTATCCTTTCTTGATCTTTCGCTTCTATCCTTCTTG